GAATCGTGCAACAGCTACAATAATAGTGTGCGTCACTCATACTCACTGTAATATTAAGTCCGGGGTAGTTTTACACTGATCAACCTTCATTAAATTTCTTGGAATTTAGCCTTAATTATTCACTGTGAAACTTTACATCAGTTTTGTCCCTGATTTCCCATCAATACTGCTTCGTATCATACATCAACTGATGAAGGGCCGAAACGGCACAGTGAATACCGCAAATCTGATAAAAAGTAGCAGCTTGGTGAGAATTTGCCATAAAATCTAAATCGCTATTGCCCACAGATTTAAAAGTCAGCGTGAAGTAATGAAAAACCGCCGAAGCGAATACTTCGTTCAAAAACAGCAAAAACTCACAAGAACTTCAGCACATTAAATTGCAATTCAAACCGTAAAATCTAGAATTAAAAAAAACGCGACAGAATTCAGCGCAATATTCAAACTGTCCCCCAGCACAGTATTACAGGGCGAAACAAGATTCAGTGTATATTGCGGAGTACTGTGGAACACTGAAGAGCTGCTATGCACCCCACAATGGTCGCTTAACCAGGCTCTGGCAAGCGAGGCTGATCAAACCCCTCGTGTCTTTTAATACTGTCTGGGTTAGGAACAAGAGATTCCAATTATAGACCCAGACTGTACAATCGGGAGCCACTCTCCATATTCATTCCTGTAAGAATGGTAATGAAACTGTAATCAACTGTTAGAAAGGAACATGAAGATTTATAGGCAAACACGGATTTAAAACCCAAACGACGCCTGGGAGCGAAGAGTTAATAACGTTATTCTCTACCCCGAAGATTCCGAAGTCAGAACAGCCTAAACTTCTACATTCATATTTTCTGAACAAGTTATGATATTTACCATTTTGAAATCAAAACTTTTGGCTCTTCAACTGATGACTACAGTTTGCAAGGAACACAAAAAATTTTTCCACTTTTCAACATACCGTAGTTTGGAATATCGCGTCGTTCACGGTAGAACAGGCAGAATGTGGTATCTGAAATGAGGGGAAACAAGTCAGCTGACTGTTAATGCTTGTTCGTTAAACTGTACTTTTAACAAACGAAACGGCAGCGTACCCGCATCGCACTTCGAGGATAAACGGAATGCTGCCATTGCGAGGCTCATATCTGAAGGGGCTGAGTATCTGAAAATTCATTCATTTATTTTCGACACTCCAGAATCATATTTTAATACACACAATTAAACACAAACGATCATATATTTTAACAGGCGATCATTATTCCGATATCATGCTATAATCTGCTTGCACGAATTTCTCGCACGATTAGCAGTAACAGCGCTGAAGAAAGCAAAAGAAGGTCAACTCTCCTCGTCCACTCCTTTTGTCCTCTCCTTCACCATGCAATGTCTAAGCAAATAAAGACACCGTCTAAGTTCTAAAAAACGCTGCAAAAAATATGCGGACAACACAGCTGAATTCTCCGAAAAAGAAACAAGCTCCGTATATGGCTGGAGCAAGTACTCAGTGCAGTATATCAGATACTTGAGAAGACTTGGGGTGGTTAACCAGCCTCAACTGAATATTGACAAAATATCAAATCTGCCCTGCAACGAGCTCAGTACAAGTAAGAAACTCTTTGAGGCACCATCGAAATTCTATTCTTGTTACCGACTTGTTTCTGCACTCGAAAGTCATACGGTTCTTTAACTTCCCGTGGCATGAACGCGACAATCAGTAGAGACCCGCTTACTCTATATTCAGTGACCAAAGAGGCTACATGCAACTCACAACACCAATGCATGCAAGTTGCTACGGTCTGCCTCTGCATCGACAGCAGTTTCTTCACGACCGCTAGCATGTCGC